ATGAAACATGCTCAGAGCCATGGATTGGGAATCACACGCCGTCAGGGCCCAGGGTGAGCCTCAGCTGATCTTCATCACTGGTGGAGGATCAGTCAAGGAGTGATGCCGGCTTCTGGTCTCATTGTTGGAAACCACTCTCATTGCTATAGTCCATCTTGTGCCAATGATGGCTCAGCATGGGGCCACCTCTCGAGGTCACATCTAGCCTAAAATACCCTGCAATTCTGTCCATTTGAAATACAACTCCATGTAAGAATTTATCTCTCCATTGTCAAGTTGCATTTAGCTTAATTACAACTCTAGGCATTTTGGGAAATTTGTTTTAAGCCAACATTTTCATTTGGATGGGATGTGATTTTTTTTCAGCTTCATTGGAACTACTTTCTGGGAGTACAGTTTTGAGGTGTTTAATGTACTTGGCAATTTTCTATTTATTTGTATACTTAGTCATTCTTACTGCAGTACATCTTAAAATGTCTTTAAAGTGTTTTCAAGCACTTAATTCAGATCAAATATTTCATAAATATATTGCCCCATATGGAAATTCACATTCTAACAAGTTAATTAATTTCATATTGAATAGTAGAATGGTGAGTTATAATATATCCAATGTGTGGAAAAGTATTCATGCTAGACCTTGGCTGCATTTGAAATGGACATTGGTTTTCCGGCTTTTTACACTGAGAATTTCCATCCACTTTTGGTAAGAAAGATTTAGCAGCTGCAGATTAAAGTTTCTTGTATGCAAGTAAATTCAGAAAACTATAATTTCTCAGGGTGTCTCCTTCACCTGCTTAAATAACTTTTCCCTTGAGCCCTCTAACCTATGAAATGTCTTTCAGATAAAGCTGGGGTTGTGAATAAACTAGGCTTTACCTTGCTGTTGGGCGGATTATGTATTGTTGGTTACCCTAAATTCATCCTGCCTGCCAGTCAGATTACTGTGATGTAAAAAGCTGAGTTTACATTACAAAATGGTAATTCCCTCATGTACAAATTCTTTCTACCTTGCAGTCAGCATGGGGTTAATGATCTCTTGGCTGACTCAGAGTTGTGGGTGATGAGTGAATGGTTAAAGAAAGGTGTTGTTTGCTAACACATTTACTGAAGAGCAGACTCAGCGGACATAGGCAGAAAAACATGAAAATGAGTGTGGAAGACAAGATTGTCCTGCTCTGTAGGTTCCAGAACACTTTCCATTTTATGTCTGCTGTGTTATTACTTTTGGAAACAAGCAGTAAATGCTGAGGTTTTTTTTTCTTTCTAATCTGTTCTGTTTTGGTGTGGGCCTTGGAGGGAGGGCTTTATCTGGGCTTTTCTTTCTTTTTGATTTGTGTTTCTCTTTGGTAAACATAGTTGACAAGAACTTTTGGTCTTTTTTTTTGTTATTGTTTGCACTGATTACAAAGGAAATTGTTGAAAAGGTTCTGCTATTGTATTTTGGGAATGATGATCTTGCCAAAGTTATTAAAGTTGGGTTAGGTTGTTGCACTATGTTCTCCAGAAGGCTAACCCTTGAAACCTAACTGAAAATTGGATGAAGAGCAGACTGTTATTTTTTGTCAAGACACAGCATCAGTAGTCTGTGATGTGCACTAACTAGCTGCTGATTTCTGGGTGGAAATTGAGATGTTATTTTAATATAGCAAGCTCCATGTTAATGGGATGCTCTTTTCACAAAGAGATTGCCTTCTCATCTCCTCTAATAAGTACTAGAGTTTATTTATTACCAGCTTTCATTTCCATTGTATAAATGGAAATGGGCGACAGGATGTTATTTCTGGAGAGTATGAGGCTAGGGATATTTTAGTGTACTTCCCGCTGTGGTTCACAAGAGCCCGAATGTGATGACTCTGCAAGACCAGTTTGCAAAACCTTGCTCTAGTGCTGCTCGAGTGGCACTGATTTTGGGGGTGGGAAGACAGCAAGGCCATATTTAGATTCATTTTGCCTTGTGAAGGTCTGTGTTAACAGATTTATAGTATTCTTTCCATCTAAAAAGTTTGTGTGCATGGAGGTATAAGTCAAATAAGAGCTGCCTGGGCATTGTGGACAGTTGTGAACAGTGACATTGCTCCTCTGCCTGTCTGCCCTCCCTTCTGCCACTGACCCTGTGCATGCCCACAAGGAGCATGCCCTTTCACGGCTTCTCCCTCTGGAAACATGGCCTCCGTGTGTGACTGAGGATGGACAGAACCTGCGGGACAGACTCCCTGCAAACAGCGTGGCAAAATACGTATGTCTTTACTGTATCTTCCTTATTAGTGATTATGCATCTTATTTTCTTTGGTGTGTACATTATTCATGAGATTTCTTATCTGTTCTAGATAGAAGAAGCTTTTTTTTTTTTTTTTTCCCCAGTATTTTGCAGTATTTCTTAGTATTCTTATATATAATTTTAATAATAATGTATTTGTGGGCCTAATCTTGATCTGAATGAAGATAAATATTCTGAAAGGATAAAAATTTAAATTATATGGACTGAGTGATGACTGATCTTTTTTTGTATTTCTTTATTTTGGTTTTAGCTATTAGTTGAAGTGTTTTCTTTTGTACCCAACTAGGAAACTAGGATTGCTTTAGTGAGTGCATATGTGGTGTTAGACAATTACTATACACCTGCAAAAATATGTAATTGTTTTGGAACTTGAAATTTTTTTCCTTTTACTGTTTTTTTAATGTGCTTTTAAAAAATATGTAGTTTTTACTGATATGGAAACAATTTTCTTGTTAACATGCATATTTGTAACAGCTTTGGAAAAAAAAAGATCAAAAATTCTAAATACGTATCAGGTGTTAATGTATACATAACAGACTAGTCTATTGCTGTTAAAATGACGTTGGCAGTTATTTGCTTGCTTGTTGTTTTACTTCAAATATTTGAAACATCCTTGTAGTTATACACACCTAAAGAATATATTTTTTAGAAAAGCGACATTAGTTAATTTAAATTTATACTGAGAGGATGGATTAGATGATCTATCTGTATGCAGGGGAGAATGGGGTGGGGAAGACAGGAAAAAGCAGCCTTGATCAATGCTGAGTAGAAAAATAAAATAAGTCAATTAAATGAGGCACTGGGATAAAGCAAATTCAAAGGAAGTTTCAGGACCTGAAAAAGAATAAAAAAACTACCTAGGTTTGGTGGGTTGGAAAAGATAGTTACATGAGCAATGTATGTGTTGTATCCATTGCAATTTATTAATGATACTGTTTTCACCTTTTCACATTTTAACATCTAAGATATGCAAGAATTTTTTTTTTCTGTGTTTACTTTGCTAAATTCATGTTGCCAGAATTACATCATTCTCCACTTTTCCCATCTCACTAAAAAACCAGTTGTGCCATGTCAGCACTTCACCATTTGCAGGTTCTTCTGTCTTGCATGAGTCCAAAAGAAACAAAAAATATTTAAATAAGTGTTCAAAATTAGCTGGTACATAAGGCTTGATGAAGAACTTTGGGTTTAATAAATGCAGTTTTCCTGAATGATAGCAGTAGCAGTTTCTGCTATCTAACATGGGGAAGCCTCATGTACCTCTAGTAACTGATATTCATTCAGAGCTGTTCAATGAAAATATCATATTCAGGTACATAAATATATAAAGAGCCTTGAAGGAAAAGGTACAGAAATTATATATAAAAAGTCTCGAAGGGATGGCTGGCAGGACATGTGAGAGTGTCCAGGTGATGTTGGCTTGTAGAAAGCTTTTGGGCATTGAGACGGACTGCAGTAGGAGATGTCAGAGACCTTTGGCTAGAAAAAAAAAGATAGTTGAGCATATGTAGAGTAATCAGAAAGCTGCTGGGGAGTATTGGTTTGGAGCAGGAAGATGCTGTTGGTGCCAGATGCTTCAGTTTATCAAAACAAAGGAAGTCTTACTTTGCTGAAGAAGAGAATAAGACAAAATGAGGTAAGTAGGAAGAAATCTGAAAAAGAGAGCCCCTAGGCTCAAAACTAGGATATATTTGTTTGAGCAAATGTTAGGACTCTGGGGAGATAAGAGCCACCTGTTCACTAACCAGCAATTAAAACATGCATGGTAAGTGGATAATTAGTGTAAACAGTAGGATTCTTTATGCTTTAGCTTGACTGATGCTGTCACACCCAGTTGTATTTATCTCCTGGACAACTTTTAGTGCAGTCTCTTACTGGAAGGCATGTTTTGCAAGAACTATTTGCCTTCCAGGAGCAATCTCAGATTTCATTGCTGGTTCCGTTGATAATTTCACATCCTCTCATTTTTATGAATATTGTTTACAAGGCCTTCAGCAGCTATCCATAATAATCTCTTACCAGCTTCACTAGATGTGACTTCATTGCCATTTACACTATAGGTTTGTTCAGTTTTCATTCAGTAGCACAAGGCACATGTGGGTCATGTGCATGTCTAGGCTGTCTAGTACGTGTCTAGTGACATGTATGTTACTAGAACAAAAAGTCTTTGGCAACAACTTTTAATACCTCCTGACTATTCTTGTTGTGCTAAAACCACTTCTTAATTTTTAAGAAAATTATACTGTAGTGAGAATGGGGACTGTTTTATGCAGTATTATATCTTTGACAATGTAAGAAAAGTCTGCATCTCTAATTGGGTAATAATATTTGAAAATAGCCTGGTTAATAATTGAAGTGACTTGCAAATTCAGGTGCAAGTCATTCTGAACCCTTTGGACAGGAGCAGGTACACAAAAATAATGCTGATATTTTTGTATTCCTTTGTAATATCTTGAGAAAAAATGGATTAATTTATCAGATAGCTTTTTAATTTTTCAGGGTACAATGTGTGATAACATCAGATTGATTTGTGAGAAATTCCACTGTATCTTTCTCGTTCTATACCTTTTCAACTAGAACAGGACAGAGGGTGATAAAAGATTATTTTTTTTTGTCTCTCTTACTTTTCAAAACTAGACCTGCTCTTCTTTCTCACATTCCGCAGGAGTGGATGAAACTTAACCTCGCTGAAAGATTTATGCTTGTTTTTTGCTATTAACAGGCCCAGCTCTGATAACAGACGTCACAGCATCCGGGAGAGGATGTCCAGTAGCAATGAGAAAGGGAGCCTGTCCATGGAGTCCACCAAGGAGACCCGATACTGTGCTGTCTGCAATGACTATGCTTCAGGCTACCATTATGGGGTCTGGTCTTGTGAGGGCTGCAAAGCTTTTTTCAAAAGGAGTATTCAAGGTACTAAACTGTTCAAGTGAATCCACTTTACTCTTGAGGAAACTGTGAAGCTACTTGAGATTGCAGCCTGAGACCAGGACATTTATTGGGTTTTCATTAGCAACTGCTGTAGTCTCCCATATATTTTCAGCTCTGCATTTGGTGAATGATTCTGGCAGGTATATAATATGTTATTTAGTCCAAGATTAATGAAGAAAAGAAAAGCTTCTCTATGTTCTCCTTGAGTTAGATATGTCTGACCATGGAGACAGTGAGAAATCTACTTTAAAAATCCATATTGGATCATGACCATTCTTCCAGGCTATGTATATTTCTTCTCTGTGATTCTTATCCAAAACTATTTTTTTTTTTGAGAATTCCCTGTTAGATGAAGATTAATTCACGTTGATTGATTTACTAATCTTAATTTAGTGCTCCATTAATAAGATAGTTCAATCCAAATCTCAACTCCTCGAAGATGCAAGATGTCTTTTGAGAACCATTCTTGAAAAAGAATCTTTCCTTGATTAAACAGGATTTGTATCTGCCAACAAAGCATCGCTTTGAACTATACACAGAATAGTGTAGTTCACAGCCTTGTCATGGCTAAAAGCATACTGTGCAAATTGTCCAGTAGAGTAAAGGGCATCTAACAGAAACAGTGTTAATTAGTGTGACTGAGATAATTCTTAATTTTAATGCCTGTCACTCTGCGGAATGGATACTTTTTTGCTTTGTTCAACATCTCCTAAACTGAGTAAGAAGTAAGTATGATTCTACTGAAAATAGGGGTATTGTTCACTATCTAAGTCTTATTTTGGAGAAGAAAATAAAACAGATTTCTTAATTTCCAAAAAGAAAACTAGTAAAACGCTATGCTTTAGTTAGGTTTCTATATATTTTTGAAGTCTCTAGGTGATATATAGGCACAAAAATTCCTGTCACTCCTTTTTTGAAGTAAACATAGTGAAGAACTGTTTTTACCTCATATCACAAGATGTGATTATTACCTGTTTTGTTGCTTGACTACTGAGGTAAGTTAAATAAGACTTCCAGCATTCAGCTCAGAATTTTCCTCGCCTTAAAGGAAAAAGTGAAAGGTTGGTTGTGGGGTAGACGTTGATGAAATTATTTGAATGTCAGTGATTAGATAATAGTTGCTTGTATTTCTGCTTTTCCAGAGTCTTCAAAATGATTTATAGAAAAGAAAGTGGTTACAGCCAGAGGTCAATAATAAGCAACACGGGAAGGAGAAAGGGTGAAATGCTTTTCTTTTAACATGAGAATGATTTACTTAATCTTGTAACATAGGGAGAACAGCTACCATATTGAGCATTTTTTGTTATTTTTCATTTTGAGTTTTCCTGACCAAATCAGAATTATTCTGAGAATTTTGAAATTTTGTCCTTGTACTTGAACTGAACTAAGTTGGCAACAAAGTGAAAATTGAAATATTATTAAGCAAAAGTAAGAATTAGTTTTGTTCATTGTGGAAGAAGGAATGAATCTGACTGTTTCATTAATTTCTATGGCAGCATTTGGGTGTTTTGGCCTTAGTCTCCATGTGGACAAATGTGATCCTCCACAACAGATCTGTTTTCTATTTGTGCTACAGTACATGCTAATTAGTAAATTTAGGTCTTGCTACATTTATATACTTAATAAAATTTTTATGTAGGTAAGCTTTAAAAATTTAAGGCTTAAGTTTCCAGTGTTCTGTAAAATGCCTTTCTTGATCTTTGATTCATGTTTGCTCTAATTTAGGCCCATTGCTTCTCGCCTTTTCCCTTGCGGGCACGAGGAAGGCTTATTACAACAACCTTTTACATACTTGAAGACTGTTATCATAGCTTTCCTCAGTCTTCTCTTTTTTAGACTAAACAAACCCACTTCTTTCAGTAGAAAGTGCTTTCTATACTTCTGATCCCATTTGTTAAACTCCTCTCTACTTTCTCCAGCTCATCCACCTCTTCTGTGGTTAAAAGCTATCATAAAAAATTACATCCACTAATACAAAAAAAAGTAATTCAAGAATATGAGAGAATTGTCATCACTTGATCGCAGATGATATGAAATGTCATTTAAAGGACTTTTAAAGTCAAAGGTAGCCATACTTACTCTGTGCAGGATGATATTAATGTATAATATTTCATGGGAGAGAAAAATCATATGACACCAAGAACACTGTGTTGTTCGATGATAGAAGAGTGCTTTATTCTTCGCCCAGCATATGTAGCCTTCAGGAGTGTACTTGGTCAACTGACTTGAATCCAGAAGCATAACAAGCAGTTCATATCACAGCACACTGTACTTCTCTACTAAAATATTTATGGATTTTAAGACCAAGAAGGGCCATCAGATCATTAAGTCTGGTCTTCTCTAAATATAAACTTTATATGCAATCCATGTACAAAGCCCAGCAGCTTGATGGCAGTAAATCTTTTAGAAGGTGCCCAGCCTTGATCTGTGGGCTCAAGATCTTTCTTACAATGATTGCTTATTCTAATGATTTGTCCTCTCAGCTGCTGAAAGATTACCTTTCTAATTTGAATTACTTTGTCTGTTACGTCACATCCATGAACCAGACTTAGTATCTAGTATCCCTCTCCTGTGGGAATTTCTTATAACTTGTTACAATCAAGTCACCTTGATATCTTCAGTGAACTAAAATGATGTAATATCCCATTGTACATTCTTCTATCTTCTGAGTCCTTTGTCTTTGCACCTTTCCTGATCCCCCCACACCTATAATAGCATCTTTAAAATTTGTTTGTCAGAATTGAATGAAGTATTTCAACATCATCCTTGCAAATGCCATTTACAAATTAAAAATCCCCTTGTGACTCACACATTCTTTCCCCCTCCTTTTAATTCTCTTGTTTTTTGGATAGCCACCAAAGGACAGGAAGGAATTGCTCTTACCATCTCTGACAAGCAACCAACAAATGCCTACATATGTAGGGCTGAGAACCCCCAGTGGGAGCACAAGAGATTCGGACCAAACAAGGGGTAACTCGTTACATTCAAGGGTATCTTGATCTCAGAGCTGCTGAAGTATTTTAGGAATCCCCAGTTCTATTTCCCTGCATTCTTCATATGCCCTTCTGATTTTTCAGGTGCACCTTCTCTGTCTTTTCTTGCAGCTGTATACTCTGAAAAAAATCTGGGATATTTCAGAAATACTCAGTTAAGAATTACTGCATGATGGGAGGCAGTACTGGTCCAGCAAGAACAGGGTGGCATCTGAGAATGGATGAATAGTTGTGCTGAGGGATTCCAGAGGCCTGCCGTTAACATCTTATTCACAGAGATTTCTCCAAAAGTGGTCTCCAAAATGCAGGGATTCTTGAAGCTGGAGAGTATTTTAGTTGTGTGACTTGAATGTGGATTTTATTTAACAGTTACGCTTTCTCACCATCAAATAGGAGAGTTTTGGCAGTAGACTTCGTGTTATCAATTGTTTTAACTTCACAGCGATAGAGCTGTACTTAGTTGAAAGTATGTAGGTCAAACTTTAATGCTAGGAGTGGTGGTAATATATACATATTTTTATCTGAGTTGGAGAGCATTTTACTGGTAATTCATGTATAGTAAGTAGGTGTTTAGCTAATGCTGTAGTGCAGCAATTATAATATTGACAATCTCGGAGGTTTCTGAAATCTTCCCTTTAACTTTCCATTATTGTCTTCTGTTTCCATGGTATTTTTGTAATCTGATAACAGCTGCAAATGTTGCACCGATCCTGAAGCCAAGAAGAGAGAAACTCCCTAATAAGACTGCTTGTACACTGATTCTATGAGTTGTCAGCAGAAAGAGCAAAACTACAAAACATGAACCTAAGTGAGACTAGTAGAGGGAATCACAGCCAATAAACACGTGGCTGCAGACCAATATCTGGTCTCAGGGTGGAAAACTCATGGTTCCATTTTGAGAGGTAGGTGACTGTTGGAAGTTCGAAGGCTAGAAAATGTGTGTTTGGATAGTTCACAAAGGTTTAGCCATCATTGGGACTGCTCTAACAGCCTTGTGGTTGGCTAGGTTCTTCTGATTCTAGGTTCTTCTTTTGATTTATGTGTGGTTTTATAGTTTTTCTCTAGAGTGGCTTGAGTTAAACACATGTTCTGATTGTTGTCCCCTAATGTGCATTTTTAATATCATCAGTCTAATTGATGGTGATCTTGTTTGTGAAACTTGGGTGTTACTGAAATCAAGTCAATATCTCTTCTTTTTTCTAGTAAGGCAATTTTGAATGTGGTACTCTTCCAGCAAGTTTTAAGTGCTGTGTTCAGTGTGGATGTGGCAGTGGCTTAAGATGTTCACATCCAAAATACTTCTTTATTTTTCATGGTCTAAGCAGATAATAGGGCTGCAGTGGACCTTGAGCCCTAGTCCATCTTTCTGCCCCATGATAGAATCAACTGTTGCCAATTCCTTACATATGTTCATTGAACTGCTTCTTAAAAACCTGTAGCCTCAACCAATGTTTTATTCTCCATATCTTTGAAGAATGCTATGAAATCTGAGTCTTCCTTCCTGCAGGTTAAGCTCATTACTTCTTTTCTTGTCTATCATGCCACAGAAAACAAATTGCTCTCCTTCCTTCTGCAACAGCCTCTAAAGCACAGAAGATTGCTATCACGCTTGGAAAAAAAAAAAAATCTGTTTAATCTAACCTGAAGAAATATAGTTTTTTTCAACCTTCTCTCATATATTTTGTTTTCTAGACTTCTAATGTTCTAGTTGCTCTACTTTGGAGATTCTCCATTTTGTCCTGTTTTTTTTTTTCTGGAAGCATGATTTCCTTCTGTATGTTGCTTTATGAGTACTGAACAGAGCAATAGGATTACCTTACAAGCCCAGTTGGTGATATTTGTTTACATCCATCACACTGTAATTTTTGCCTTATTTACAATACATGACACTGTTCACTCAATCAGTTTGTGATGCAGAATAAACTCAAGCATACTTTTCTAGAGAGGAAACCACTTATTTCCCATCTTGTCTCATGTATCTGATTATTT